TGCCTGGTCTGCAGGTCAGCTTTAAATATTCACTATAATGGTTTTAAATTCTCCTATCCAGCCCACAGCGGGTAATTTAGGCTTCTTTTCATAAATATTCCTTTGTCTGCATTGTTGTGAAGCATCTCTGTGCAAAAAGCTTAGACGCTCAAGTTGAAATTACACAGACGGGATGGAGCGCTAGCAATGGCTGCTGTGTCCCCCGAATCAACGTTCAGTCAGAGACAGTGCAGCTGTTTCATTAAAGGAGTAAAGCCTAGTGACTTTGGAAAGTGACTATTCACTTAGCTTAGTGAATGAGGTGAAGTTGCTCTCCAAGTCCCTGGCACTTCACCTTTGTTTTGGTGGTGGTGCTCAGGGTACGCGCTTTCATTTATGGTAGCAGTGCTGGAAAGTACAAAAGCTATGAATAGGAGTATATAACTTAAGGTCTGTACTAGGGTTGCACTTGTACTCGCCCAAATGCTCCAATACTTACCCCAATACCAGAACTTCTGGTCAGGGGGGAGAGTCCCTCTGACTGGCAGTGCCGTGAGGGAGCATGGAGGCGACTAATCAGGAAGCTGGGCGGGCAGGCAGGGCATGACCCGCATCCCTGATTGGCTTGGCTAGGAAGCTGGCTTCACACTACCTGGTGACATTGTAAGGCAGCCTGACCAATAAGGAAGCTGTGGAGCATGTCATGACCCGCCTCCCGGGTTCCTGATTAGGGAGCCAGCTTCATGCCACGAGGGAGCGTGAAGTCGGTTTGTTTGCGATAGAACACCGGCCTCTATAGCAATCAGGAAGCCTGGTACTTGAACAAAATATCAGTACCCGTACTCGATACTGATAAAACTTTACCGGTGCATCCCTAGTCTATTGTACTGTACCAAGGCCTCTGAACTGTCACATACCTCTCTAGGAATGGCAGGCGATTTGCAACTTTTATTTTCCTAGCAATCCCCCAAACCAATGCTAAAGCGTGGAAGCAGCCAGCCCCAAATTTCTTGGAGGTCAAACAGGGGGTCATGCACACCATGGTGCATGAGAAGCTTATGGCTGTGCTGAATGACTCCAACTCTAAACTTCTCAAAATATGGCCCCGTGACTGGAGTATATTCACCACTTGGGTCTACACCGTTCCATGCTCTCACTTTGATGGCACCGCACAGGTTACAGGGTCACGGGCCCGAGCAGCTCCCTTTCTCTTTCTAATCTTGTTTTTATTCCCTTTCCTCTAGTCTTAAATCTGCTTCACTTGCAACAAAGAATAGAAAAAAAAGAAAGTAGTATATTTTTTAAATGGCGTTTTCAGAATGAACTTTGCTTCAGCAAACTAAATTATAGTTTAGATCTACTTTAATCTGCGTAATTATCAGTTTGCCTGATAAACAAAGAACTAAATCTTGCTCAGCTTATTTATGCATTCCGAAATAGTATCCCAAATTAAGATTAAAAAGACGACACAAATTAAAAACAAAAATTTATTATAAATCTAAGAGCAAAACAATGGGTAGGCAAAAAACAAACAAATGCAAAACAACTAAACATGTCTAAGTGCCACAGAGTGTGACCAGTGCCTGCAGGATAGACAAATAGTAATTATTCTGGTGTACATAAAACCTCATAAGACAGAGCTACACCGAGTGCTCCGGACGATAAAACACATCATTAACGGATCCAGCAGAAAGGTCGTATAGAGAGGCAGTCATTTTAAAAGCCAACCAACAAGAAACCACTTTTAAAGAGTACCTGTTAACAACGTGGAATAAAGAAGCCATAATGCCCCCAGAATATTAATTTAGAGAATACGGCTTATTTATAGTCTAGTAACTGGTGATAACACTGCGGTATTAATTCATAGTAAATCAAGAAGCAGATCATCATTTCAACCCAGATGCTTCATTTGTTTTTTTCGAGTGGCAGAATTATTGGTCACAGATTAGGGAAATTCATACGGACCATAGAATGAAACAATGCATAGGCAGAGGTAACCACATGACAAAGCCACCGCTAGAAGTTTAGACAGCCGAGGTTACATGTGAAACTCAACTTTCCCTTTACAGTTCAAGCTTGGTGTCCCCTCTCCTTCCCACCCCAAGGACCAGCACAGATCTACAGAGGTGCCAATATGAGGCCAAGCTGGAGTCTTACAGGATGCCACTATTTGCATGCAACTTCAGCTGCCCATCGTCAGATTTGGTGGATGTGTTTAAAACAGACCTTCCATGCCAGATGCTAGCCCCAGCCCACAAAAAAGGCAATTTGTAAAAGTTCCCCCAAAACCACAAAAACCTCAGCCCCAGTCTTTAACGCTTCTGGGAGGTATGCCTGATGTCACCGTGCCCTCCAGCAGAGGTCAGACCTCAAAATCCCACAAGACTCTTGCCATGGGCTGGAGTGCATTCTCATATGATTTCGAGCTCCCAGCTCTGCCGGAAGGCACGGTGAGTTGGTGGCAGGGCCATTTGGGGGGTTGGGACGGGGGGGCGGGCGACGACGACAACAACAACTGGTATGTTTAAAAATCCTTTTGGGTTGGAGGGGGGCCTCCTGTGATGGCATGGAAGGTTCGCTTTAAATTGAGATTTTGGGAAGTCTTTTACAAATGCTGACACTTCAATAAAACTCTTTTTTTTGAATAGAGGTTTTAAAAAACACAGCCTGTGTGTATAACTTTATTTACACTTTGCAGCGACAATATT